ATTGGGAGAGTAGCCATGCATACACTTGCTTGAAATTCCATGCCATACACTGTCTGTCCTTGTTGCTGTCAAAAACCAGATTCTGCAGGGATTTTTAGCCGACCGACAGTATAGAGTGCCGACCAGCTATTGGTGAATGGCCGATTACTTCATCAGCAGCCAATGGATATTTTCAATAGCCGGTGGACATTTCCTCCAGCCGATGGTGTTCCACAGTGTTCAGGGGACCTGTCCCAGAACTTTGGCAATTTTCAAAGAAGCAGGGCAGTGTAAACAAAGGCGGCAGTGGTATGGTACGGACTTTCCGGGCGAGACGGGTTCGAGCATGCATCATTCGCGCATCCCGAGGCGGGGGCTGTGGCCACCTTTCTTTTTGCATTCATTCTGTTAATTAATTAGAGATTCTGTAATAATTAATGTATTATTCATTCGGACTGTAATATTTATTTGGACCCTCTGAGTGAGGGCAATTGTGTAATAAGTGTGGGTGAGTGTGTGTATGTCTTCCAACCCCACGTCTTTCTTCCCTTTTATTTACCCGCTTATGATGGTAGACTAGGGCATATTTAAATTAGCATACCTTATGCTATGCATGCGTGCATTCACACGTTTGTCTTGCATGCACTAGGCTCGGTACATCATGCTAACTGCACTCGTATTTCAATTCCAAGTTGAGTATTTGTTAGTTGCAGCATTTCACATGCCATGTTTAGGATAGCCGAGCCTATTTAGATTGCATCTTTGCATGTGTTGCATTAGTCATTTCAAATATGAACTAGGATCATGCATGTGATTACTAACTGGTTTCTGTTTTGGCTTGGAGTACTAAGTGAGCTTTTTATGCTTTAGCATGCCGCATGCGTGTGAGTGTTGCCATAATTGCATAATTACCATGAGGCTAACTGCTTATGTGATATAACTGCTTGAATGCCTGTGGATGGAGGTCGAATCGCTCAAATTGGGATAACGCATTAAAACTGTGAGTTTTAAGCCCATTAGCTAGTGGCAAAACCATCTTTTCTAAAAGCCCACTCGAAGGTGGCAAAACCTGCATTTTAGCCTACTTGCGAGCAGCAAACCATTTTCAAAACAAGCATGAAATGTTTTGTTCCAATTTAGGCGATTTGGTCTATACTTGTGCTGTGCGCATAACATAGTAATTCTAGGCTAATAACTGGAATAAGAACACATAATGCTTTCAAAACAAGATATCACGGTTAGTAGAGGCTGATCTTTGATCGGGCGAGAGGGGGTGCTCATAGCTGACCTTCCCCAATCGTACCCAAGTTCCCGAGCCGAGGCAACTTTGGTGATGACGGACACGTGGCCTTTGGCACCGAGTCAGGGTTTCCTAAATTCCCAAAATAAAATATTTAGGTGGCGACTCTGTATTTGGCAAAGCAGTCCATGTTTGGCACTTCTTTTTCTAAAAATCTGTTTTCTCAAAACGATTTGCCAGATTTGGACTCTTTGGTTCAGATTAAGAACCGTGACAATTTGAGTCCGAACTGTAGTAGACCCGCAAAACGAACGGAACGGGACTCGTCCTCTCGGGGCGTTCGGGGACGTCTACAGTATTCAAAGAATGTTTAAAATTACAATGCAAGTTAGAATAATGAACCGAGTCTTGGTACATGCAATACAAGTGGATGCAAACATGAAGTATGCTAAACAAAACGTTATGTTCCTAAACTAACCATCGTAAGCAGTTAAATAAAAGGGAGAAAGGCGTGGGGTTAAAAGACATGCACATTATTACAACATTGCGCTCTCACGAAAGAGAGTCCGAATGAACTAACTAGCTAACTAATTAAAGCTAAGCTAATTATTATAAAACAAATGAAATTAGCTAAATTACTTAACTAATTATTATAACAACAAATGAATTAATTAATTAACTAACTATTCTAGCTACAAATTACAACACTTTACCAAATTCAACTAGCTACAACTGATTAATTATAACAAATATTTAAGTTAAATATTTAAACTAAACAGGCTCGATATGCAAGGAATGCTCATGCACATGCTCGGTTTTCACCTGAAAAGGTCACTGTTTTGCTTCTAGAAGGTCTCTGTTGCACAGTAGAACACTTATACTTTTGTCCACCTCTAGAATAGCTCTACTCTGCTCAAAAAACACATTACTGAATTTTGCATTAGTGGCCTGCCAGCCAGGAGTGATGGCCTGCCGGCCACTGCTGCAGGGTTCATCTTGCTGCAACAGAGAACAAACAGAGTATGCACAAGGTATTCTCAAGGGTTGTGTGCACAACTCACCCCTCCTTATCATGAACAAATCAAATGGGTAGTAAACTTGGTCCACAAACCACCAACTCAAGCAATTTCATTGCATGATGACTTATGAATCAAAATGTGCAATTTCAATAAATGCAACAAAACAAGACACAAACCTCCTCCCTTTAATGAATTGATCTAGGGAAGTGGTGACCTTGGAAACTTGAACCATTTCATCACTAATGAGTATGAAATGCCTCAAGCTTCCATCAATTCAATTAACGTCCGATTGAACACAAAACTAAATTCTTATCTTGTACTATTTTAAGTCCCATTTTAATTACTTCACTTTAAATTACCAATCATCCTTTAATTCATTGACTCCAAAGGGTGAAGTTAAGTCCTCTAATGGGAAGAGGGCTCAAATCAAGTGTTGTCTTAGGCATAAAAGAGACATCATATCGTTGGTAATGAATCCCCTAAGGGATTAAATCATTAAGTATAACATCTCAATCTAATGTGTAAACAAACAAGTAGTTTGAAACCACTTTCAAAGTAAAACAAAAATCAAGAAATGAGGGAGGTTGCAGAGGTGATTAAGAGTGATCGCAAGTATGGAAAGCCATAAATAAATGCAATCAATTCAAGTAAGATGGTGTCCAATGCCTAAAACACCAAACTCATGAGGACAATTACACTATAAGCATGCAAAACAAAGCTCAAATGTAACAAGCAGCTAAAAACAGTCCCAAAACAGTACTAAATAGGTCCTAAAATATACTGAAATTAAGACAAAAATAGCTAGAACAATAAGTTAAAATATAGAGCATGCTAGGCTAGTAAGCAAGATATAAGGAGGGGAGACTAACCCCTCTAATTTTGGACTTCAAAAAGTATTTTTAGCCACTGAAATAACTCTGAAATTCAGTATTTAAAAGCTCAAAAAAAGGTGAGAACAAGGTGGGAAACACAAGAGTAAAGGCCTTGGAAGCTAGGTAGAAGGAATGATAAATATAACTTTTTGCGTCTATTTTTTTATGATCGATTATTTAACAGTCGCAAAAAAATAAAATAAAAATAAATAAAAATAAATAAATAAATAAATTTGCAACAGCAAATCAGCCGAAGCAAATTAGGAATATCACTTCATTTTACTTGTCATTCACGTGTCCAATTTACTTTTATTTATTTTCCATTTTACTTAAACCCCCGTTTATGAAAACTTGCCTAAACTCTCGTTTCCCCTAAGAGATCGTGATCGATCGCAGTTTCTCTGGCTCGCTTTTCTCTCTCTTCACTTCTTATATACGAAGCCCACAGGAAAATTGAAGAGAGAGAGAGAGATAAAGAGATCGAGGCCATATGATTTGGATCTCTTTTGATCTGAATCGATTTTAGGCCTTAGTGATCTGGATAGTCTGATGCAATTGCTCTGCCCTAGTTTGTTAGATGATCTGATTTAATCTAATCTGATGCTATTGTTCTGTTCGATTAGAGCTTTGATTTCAGAAATGGAGCAATGACTAAGGGCAATGAATAGGTATGGAGTTCTCTCTCACTCTCTTTCTGTAATCTCATATTCTCTACATTTTTTTAGCTAGGGCTTTTTTTTTTATAATGGATTTTACTAGTTTTTAGATTTTATTGTTGATTTGAATTTAGTTACTCTATTACATCGAATAAATTGGAAAATTGAATTGCTCTGTATGTATATTGTTCATGTTTTTGAAATCAACTAGTTCCTATTGTCACCATTCAGTCTTCTATTATTCCTGCATTTAGGGCTGCAAATGAATCGAACCGAGCCGGGCTTTGCTGAGCTCGAGCTCGGCTCGTTTACTTATCGAGCTCGTTTATTGAGCTCGAGCTCGGCTCGATAAGGAGCTGGGCTCGAGCTCGGCTCGGCTCGTCTCGACTCGTTAATTTTAATAAAACTCGAGCTCGGTTCGGCTTGGCTTGGCTCGATGAGTTTTTTTTAATATTATTTGTATTATTTAAATATAAATATTTAAATAAAAAATATTATTTATACTATTTAATATATAAAAAATGTATTTATATTATTATTTATATATATATTTATATATTATTTAATATATAAATAATATATTTTTTATATAATTTAAATAAAGATAAACGTGCCGAGCTTAACAAGCCGAGCTTATGCGAGCTCGAGCTCGGCTCATTTATTAAACGAGCCTAATATTCGAGCTCGAATTCGGCTCGTTTACTAAATGAGCCGAGCCGAGCTGAGCCCTTAACGAGCCGAGCTGAGCCGAGCTGAGCCGAGCCGAGCTTGTTCATGAACAGCTCGGCTCATTTGCAGCCCTAGCTGCATTTGGTGAATTTTGTTATTTTGTGAGTTAAATATATAGCATCTGTGAATTTGTTGTTTCATTGATTATCAACAAGTTTGAATTCGTTGAGGCAAGAACTGGTAAATTTGAAATTGGAAGACAAAATGTCCTAGTGTTGAAAGAGAATAAAACAAATATGAGAAAATATATATATGCTTAGTTTTCACTAACAAATAACTCTTGCTTCCTGATTTCATTGTAAAATAAGATCAAAACCTTGCTGGTACCAATTAATTTTACAAGAAATTTACAAATTTGTGGAACGGTTAGCAATGATATATAAAAGAAACTAAATAAATGGTAAACAACAGCAAAAAGCCAAATGACAATCAAATTTCTTAATTTATTTATTTATTTTTAACTTGCATTTCATTTACATTTATCTAGGAACACAACAAGTTAACTCTATTCTTTTTTCTTTTTTTTTTACTGTAAATAATTAGTCAAACAGTAACTTAGTATCATTCAGTTGAAGAATAAAAAGAAAATAAACAACAGATTTCTAAGCTCAGACAGGTGGTCCGATAAGATATTTTTTGGAGGTTAGGAAAATGTACCCTGCATAGTTTCTATTGGATTTTAAACTCTTTCTGTATGTTTCATAGGAAGTACCTGTAATGTATTATATTATTATGTAGTGCCGATTTATGTCCCTTGAAAATACTACTAGTTATGAGGAGTTCTTGTATATGTAGACACAATTTTATTACATGGAAATGCCCCATTGTGATCAATTTTTTTTTTTTTTTTGGTCAAACCAAATGGAGATTGAATTTGCTCTCAGTTTTATTGAGATGAATGTAAATCATCTGCAAGTGACCATTCATGGGGGAAAAAAAAATTAAAAATGAAGGAACACTTGTTGCTTTGTATATTTTGCAGATAAACCATTGCTTCTAGGGAACTGGGTTTACCATGCTAAACTCTATGCATTGGCTAAATCATAAAATAGTAAAGCAAATTCTGCTTTAACATGCTACATGAATAGGTGTTTCTCCGGAGAAGGCACCAGGGCAACAATGTCTGATGATGATGTTTGATGGAAGTTTTGATGGACCTGACACCATGGGATTTGGTTCTCTTATCCCAACAAAGCGCGAGAGATCCTTGATGGAATGTGTAAGGCAAGAGCTAAAGCATGAATTGAAACAGGTTTGGGACTAAATATTTGGTTGTGTAATGTTTTGTACATTTTCAGTGTCACTAACATTCTTTTCCTTTTCTTTTTTTATTTTTTTATTTTAAATATAGGGTTACAAGGAGAAACTTGTGGACAATAGGGAGGAAATTTGACGAAAGAAAAGGAGGAAATTTTAGAACATGAAAACAATTCATCTATCCTTGCATTGCTTCTTCACTATAGGAGGTTGCTGTGATTTTCTCCCTTGTAGCTTCTTCTTTTAAGTCTTTGCATTTTTTTTTAATAATTATATTCAATAGCACCTTTTGGAGATTTCCTTGTTTGTTAGTGATCTCTCAATCTTAGGACTTGTTACATTTTCATACCATTCTTCGAGAAAGTTTGCTTAAGAATTAGGTTGAATGCTATTGGTCTGAAATCTCTCTTTGATGTAAGATTTCAGTTGTCGATAGATGTCGCAATCCATGTTTCATCAACACCTAAGGTTGTATTTGTTTTATCGGAGAATACGGGAAAAATTAATTTCCAAGATATTCAGGTAATAAGGTTGTTTGTTTAGTTTGGAATTTCAAAATTTTATGGAATGATATTCCAAAATTTAAGTTGCCCGGACATCCAGTCATCAAAAAAAATTTTTAAGAAAAATTATTGGAAAACAACTTCCCATACTTCAATCCAAATGTTATTTTCTAGATTTAGGAAAAATTTATATAAGGAGTATCAAAACAAGAGTCCTTGTTGTATTATGATATTTATAAAAATGAGACTTGGTTTAAAATTTGCATCTGGTTAATTTCATTATCTAGCTCATGTTTCATACTTTCATAAGTCAATACAAAGGTTGTTGTAAGCATTGTTAGATAATGTTTTTGTTTTATACAAATAAATGGGCAAAGTTGATCATGTTATTTACTTTTGTAACAAATTTAAAGTCAATAAATTCTAAAAACTTGAAAAATTAATATTAAAAACTAATTGCCCTCTCCAAACCCCACTTTAGTGAGAGCCTCGTGCATTGGGTTGCCCTTTGGGTGGAAGAGTGCAAATTCTCTATCATTGTTGAGAAATTCAATGGATCTTTAGTTATTGGGCCATCTCGTTAAACAAGGATTTTGATAGGGATGTTGCTTAGCCATTGCACTCATTCTCCACTTTGTTTTGGGCCTCGTCTTCCCCCTACTTCTATTGATTGATATTCTTGTCAAATGAGAACAAATAATACAGTTACCTTTCATTGATTTTGATAATTATTACCTTTTAGGATCTTGTGCCATGATTTTGATGGGGATGTTTTAGGATCCAGAGGGCAAAGGGAGCTTGCACTTCTTTCTAAAAGCTAAAGGGTGGGCAACTTCCATATCAGCTGGTGTTGGGGATGAAGGGATGCACAGATCTTTGATAGCTTATATTTTTGGCATGTCTATACACCTCACTGACTCTGGCTTGGAAAAGGTAGATACTTGTTCTTACCCCTTACTGATTCTTGTGGTATAGTCTGCTTTCCTTTGTAATTTATTGCAACTCTTATGCATTCCAGAATTTGACTTACGTCGATGATTGGTTCTTAATTCTTATCTTTTACAAAATGACTATCTTGGAGAAAGGAGAATTATTGGAAATATGTAGTCAGTGTAAAACATATAAAATCAACGACCTTTTCAGTGAAGGAGGAAAGGTTGGTATGTGTTCCACTTGTACGTTTTCCCTTTAAAAACACCTTTATCTTAATATGTGGAAGGTATAATTGTAAGCATGCAGTTGTCTCTCTTTCTTTCCCATTCTCAACCAAATGTACTTGGGGAATTTTTTTTCTCAACCTTGCTTTTACCGTTTCCATCCTATCTTTCAATTGCCAAACCTCTTACTAATAGAACATCAAATAAATACAAAATCACTCTAGTGGAAGGAAATATGATCAGGCATTGTTATTTTTTATAGATGGAAAGCACTCACCAAAGGAAACTTTTGTTCTCCTTTTCTCTCCTCACTTTGTTGTAAAGGTTAGGTTTGTACCTAGTTCCCCTTGATTGATAGTGACCAGTTTTGACTAATGGCATTTTTTATGATGTTTTGACCAAAGAATCTAATTGACATTTTACATCCAAATAAAATAGGAATAGGACCTCCTATAGCAATTGTCCGCTCAAAGATATAAATTAATGATGGGCTGTATAGTATAGCAATCAAATGAACAAATTAAGGCTCAAAGATTTGAGGACCATTTAGTTCTTTTAACCTTACTGCAAGCGTACACTAGGAAGCATGAACCCTTCTAAGAAGGTGGTGTGGCTTGTTGTACACCAACATGAAACTTGTCGGATACTTCCCCACACTTTTCATACACGTTTAAACGTATCCTACTATTTTTAAAACATTTCTAAACTCAAACACGCTTAAGGCATTTGGGAGATATGTGTTGCTTAAGACACAAATGAAACACTTTATAAGTTTGAATAAAATGACTTTGAATCTAAGGATAAAAGAAAATAATGTAAATTTATACATATTCTTTTCTCTTTGCCTATGGTGTTCTGCATCGGCAAGTTTTTATCAGCCTCGGAGATTCGATGGGGATTAAGGAGGAGATTCCTTCATGCATATTATAGGTGAAGGAAATGGCAAGACAAAATCACTTTTAATGCATGACTGATAACTGAGAATTTTTAAGCATACCTCTGTTCTCTCTTCAGATTTCTCTTACTTCTCATCTCTTCTTCTTCTCCTTCTCCTTCTTTTAAACTGTCACCGTTGCCTAGCTAGCACAATGATACTTCGTTGTCACCCATTACATACCTGCATAAATCTTATTGTTTTTTTAGATGTACTTTTTCTTGTTTCAACCTATTTTACTGATGTTTTTGCTTTGGTATGTAATGCTGGTATGCAGATCTTTGATATCATTGGCTATGTTTATCAATACCTTAAGTTATTGCGTCAAGTTTCTCCCCAATAATGGATATTTAAGGAACTCCAGGATATTGGAAATATGGAATTTAGATTTGCAGAAGAACAACCTCAAGATGATTATGCTGCAGAGCTTGCAGGTTATCTTCTTTTTGTTCTTTTTACCTCTTGCATCAACTTTGTTGTATTCAATTGACAGTCCCTTAGTTTGAGGTGTTTAAATTGCTTGAGTGCAATTATTTGCGATGAGTTTGGCCTCTTGCTGCTAGCTCAGAACAGACTTCATTCACTAATTCATTTGCTAGCACTGGTGCCTTCTTCTATCATATGTGGTCCATCATTTTGAAATTCTAAGTGCTTTTGCACTAGGAAAGTTGGTGATGGAAGTTGTTTGGATACTTTCGAACCAGAAATGAGATCAAGAATATATATTTTGCCAATGGCAAAGATAATTATTATGGATAGCTTTGACAATAAGCATGAGCTTAGTGTCTTGCTGCTAGCTCAGAACAGGCTTCATTCACTAATTCATTTGCTAGCACTGGCACATTCTTCTATCATATGTGGTCCATCATTTTGAAATTCTAAGTGCTTTTGCACTAGGAAAGTTGTGATGGAAGTTGTTTGGATCCTATCGAGCCAGAAATGAGATCAAGAACATATATTTTGCCAATGGCAGAGATAATTATTGAAAGCTTTATGATAACATAACATCACATTAGTATTTTCTTACAGTTAGTTTCCTAAATCTTGTGTTTTATCAAATTCAAATAAATTTATGGAGTTCTCAGAATCTCGATGAACTAATTTTATTCTGTCCAAAAAAAAAAAAAAATGGAAAAGGATTTTTTTTCAACAAAAAAAAAAAAAAAAACAAAAAAAAAAAAAATTTGTTTTGTTTTGTTTTGTTTTTGTTTTTGTTTTTTTTTTTTTTTTTTTTTTTTTTTTTTTTTTTTCTTCGAGGTAGTTTCCATGCTTAGTGTCAAATAATCTTGAATGTTTTGATTTATTTATGTAATATAGTTAGATTTTTTTTGAATTTTCTCATCAAGCTGGCAATGGATATTGTTTATTGTAGATAACCTGCTGGTTTATCCGCCTAAGCACATTATTTATGGGGACTATGCATTCAAGGTATGGGATGAGGAAATAATTGAATATGTTTTGGGTTTCTTCAAACGGAAAAACATGAGGGTTGATGTAGTATCAAAGTCTTTTGCTAAGTCACAAGGTAACTTGCAATTATTTGTTGTTTGTAGGTTTTGTATGTACATTGGAAGTCTTGCTTCTTATGAATATTCTAGTACAGGAAGCTTAAATGTTATTTGCAAGAAGATTTATTTCTTGTTTGCAGGATGTAATAGCTCCAAGTGGTTTTCTTTGCATAACATTTAAGCTTGAAGGTCTAAATGTTTGACTGTTTAAAATGAACCTCATAGGTGTTTATTGCTCAAGCAAAGATAATTTGAATGATGTCTAATATATTGATGTATATTTTTGCAGGTAGTGTTGAGGGAATAATTGATATGATTAAATGGGTGCTATTGAGAGCTAAAATGAGATTTTTTTTTCTTTCTTTTTGAGTACTTGAATCTATTAGTATTTTCTATAAATACTTTTAAGGATGGTTAATGGATATTTGTTTTGCATGTATAGAAGTTTATATTTTGTATGCACATTTTGTTTGTTTGTTTGTGTTTTTTTTTTTTTTTGAAGAAAGATAATTTTGTTGAGGGAAGGGATGGAAAATAATACATAAGTATTAGAATTTTTGCAAATATCACTTTATATTTATTGTATATAATATTTGAATATATATATGAGAATATAGATTGTTAAAACATTGTAGGTATTTTTTTTCCATTTTTTTACGACGGTAACAAGATGATTGCTAATACATTGTAGGCATTTAATTTTTTTTTTTGCGACTGCAAAACATTGGTTGCCATAAGTAGATTAGGCAGTTGCAAATAGTTTACAACTGTTGTTTTGCGGTCGCAAAAAATATTTGCCACCTCTACATTTGCGACCCCCATTTGCAGTCGCATGGGCTGTCACAAAAGGTCTTTTGTGACTTTTTTTAATTAAAAGTACTTTTTTTAGTAGTGTGAGCCACCCCTTCACCTTTGTTAGCCTTAAACCACAAGTTTTAGCCTAAAATTTCAGAGTTTAGACAGTCCAAAAAAGCCCAAAAACAATACAAAAATGTGTTGGAATGAAGACAAAAGTGGCTAAAATAATAAGCTAAAACATGGAGCAATTTAAGCTAGTAAATAAGCCAAAGGAGGGGTGGTTAACCCTTCCATTTTTGGGACTTCAAAATCACTTTTTTAGCCTCTGAAAACCTCTGAAAATCAGTGGTGAAAAGCTCAAAAACAATTGATGAAGAGATGAGAAACACAAGTGTAAAGGCTTAGAGAACAAGGTTCAAAGAAGGGTAATTAACCCCTCTACCTTTAATAGCCTTAAACCATAAGCTTTAGCCGATAAAAACAGTTGAAAAATAGTTCAAAATCAGCAAGAAAATATAGAAAAGATATAGTGCAAAGGTGCTCAAAATTATACCTCTTGGAGAGGAATAACACTTTTGTTCACAAACTAACAAGTTCTCACTCTCAATGGTTGAAATTTGGACTCAATAATCTCAGCAAGAAGAGTTGCAATATTGGTTTAAGAAGTGTAGAGAGAGAGTGTATAGGTTGCAAGATAGAGATAGAGAGAGAATTTCAAGTTTTGGCCCTTAAGAATTTTTTTGTAACCTTAAATCATGAAGGAAGGCCCCTTATATATAGAAAAGCAGCCCCTCAGGTCGAAAATATCAAGCCTGGAACAGCTGGGGCTTTTAGGGGATAGCTGGGAAAAAATATCTAGGTTTTTCACCAGTGGCCGGCAGGTCAGAAGTGTGAATTGCCGGCCACCAAAAATCTGCTTCCAGGCTCGACTTCAAACGGGCATATCTCATTCATCTGAACTCGGTTTTAGGTCATTCTGGAATCTAAATTGAACCCCCGGAAGTTTATTTTCCAATGGTGGCAGCCTCAAATCTAAATTCTAAGTGTGCAAAGAGATATGCTATTTTAGTAAAGGTTGCTCATTTCTATCTTAAACGGATTGATGCCCAACTTTAAACGGTCATATCTTCCTTATCCAGACTCAGCTTTAGGATATTCTTGCATCTAAATTGAATCCCCAAAAGTCCAATTTTCAATTGTAGTAGCCTCACAACTAAAGTCTAAGTATTCAAAGAGATAGACCTGATTTAGTATAGGCTGCTCAGCTCTCTTTCTTAACGGTTTCATGCTCAACCTCTTCCCCAACTAGTTTTCTTCCATCCCCTCCAATTTTCTTCAATTCCAAACCTATAAATAAGAGGTTTAAAAAGATTTTTCAAAGAGTTCACCTCCTTTCCATTTATTTCTACTTTGTCCTTACTAAGTTTACCGAAAAGTGCAATATTTTACGAAATGCGAGCCTCAGGACATCGTAAACATTTGGAAAAATATTTTGAAAGAAAGGATTTTAAGGTCTAAAAAGAGTTTCGGTCCAAAGTAGTTTCGGTCCAAAATGAGGTGTAAGGTTGGGATTTAAAAGCTCTTCTTGCTGAAGAAATCAAACATTTGCACAACATAACTTTCATCATCGAGTGATCAACCTGAGGCGCCCAAGTCTTAGGGGCGGTCAAAAATGAAATGTCTACAGGTGGCCGTGGTGATAGCAGTGTGGTGGTGGAGGTGAGACTGGAGGTGGTAGTGTGGTGACATTAATAAGACTTTATTCTAAAAAATATCTGCTATCTTTTAAAAGGGAAACATTTCATGCCCAAATAAGCTTGTTTTTTGTTGATCATGAAAAATATTTTTCGTTGACTTTTGTTTTCCATTATATCAAACGCCAATAAATACAGACCAACAAAAGGCTCGAACCCAATATCTTCAATATAAGAAACGTTTTTATTACTTGAGCAGCACATATCATATTTATTTTTAAATCGAAATTAAATTTTATATTTTACAGATTTAATAGTACACTCATCGATAGACACCCACCCACTAATATATATATATATATATATACGTATACATTCTAACCTTTGATACCATATCTTCAACTTCCCAGCATTACGTAATACATCAGCTTAACCACAATTCGCCATGATTCCGAAAGTTGTGCCGCCAAGATCAAATTGAAATGCATCGCAACTACAACGCACAAATCAAAGATAGCTACAGTTACTGAATTCCGTGAACATGCTCGATTTAATATGCATGTCACCCAAATATATTTTGAAAACCATACATGTTTATCAGATAACTTCAATTAATGTATGAAAACGATGAAAAGAAAAATGAAAACAATGAAAACACTTCTGGTGTTTCTCAATTTTAATGGGGAAGGATTTTCTTCCATCCACTGTTTTACTAGAGGGCTGTTTTACTAGAGGTTTTTGTTTTTGATATTCAATTTAAAAAAATTGGATTTATTCAATAATCATATTTATATGTTTTCATTACATTTGTTTAAAGAAAATGAATAATAGGTATAATTTTGAAATTATTCATTCATTTTTTTTAAAGACCAATATGAAAAAAAATTATATGGATAAAAATATGGCATCAATCTAAATTTTATCATGCATGATCTAGACAAAAAAATCATACAAATTATATGATTCAATTCTTCGAAATGATATTTATAATGTATCTGACGAACCAATTATCACACTTGTATTTCAACAGTAAATTAGATAGAACTCCTTCCCATATTAATAATAAAAAGTAAAAACATGAAAGAGGGCTTGTTTTCTTCAATTTTAAGAGAGGTCTATATAATTTACTGTACAACCAAACGCCTATTTGTTTTATTCATTATTTGAGAAGAGGGGTAGAAGGGAATATAGGTGTTTGGTTGTAGAGTGTGAGCCGCCTATTTAAGATAGTGTGAATAAGAAAATAGGGATTTAGTTGTACGATTTAAATTTTCTAAATTCTTAAATTACTATTTTTACACATTAGATTAAATTTTCACTATTACTGATTTGTAGAGATTGTCTTCAATTAGACTATATGAACTGAAATAAGATGCAATAGGGACCAAATAGATGGATCTATTAATTTATAAATGAAGTAAAAAATGTGACTATAGTTTAGGGTATAACACAATGTGACAATTTAAAAAAAAAATCGTTAAATACAATAAAATATGAAAATGTATTGAATTTTTGTATTTTTTTTATTATTTGGTGAATTTTTAAAGTTTTTGTTTTCACAAATATTACTCTTTTTAAGTGTATATAGATTAGGTGTGTATAAGAAATAATTTTTTTTGTTGTAAAATATTAAAAAAAAATCACTAAAAAGGAAAACAAAAAAAACTCAAATTCCTGAAAAATAAATTAAACCAAATAAGGTAAATATAATTTTTTCATCCATATAACTAATGAATACTGATGTAAATAAGCTAAGTATAACACCCACTGTGATTAGGAGAGGTCAGAGTAAATTTACCTAGCCAAGCTCTCATTCTTTTATTCATTATTTGAAATAGAGAGAAATATGGGTGTCTGGTTGTAGAGGGTAAGTGGCCTAATATTGTGTTAGCAAGAAAATTGTTATACAATTTAAGTTGTCTAAATTGCAAAATTATTTTTTTAATCCTTAGATTAGATTTTTCTCATTAATGATTTGGACAGATTGTCTCCAATAATCAGACCATATGAACTAAAATCATAAACAGTAAAGACTAAATATATGCAATTAATAATTTAAGAATGAAGTAGAAAAAGTGACTGTAAAGTAAATTTCAAAAAATAAAAAAATAAAACAAAAAAAAAGACTCCTAAAAAAGTGCCCAAGTCTTATACCACTTTCCATTGCAGCCATTAGAGCCAATAGCAAACCTTTATTTTCACTACTCACTTATTACTTATTTTCACTACTCATTTATTACTTCCATGATTTTTTTTTTTTTTTAATTTTTCGCAAGATGATTTCCAATCAAGTGCTTTGTATAAACATCAAAGGAAATAAAATAGCTTTATTTTGTATGATACAAATAAAGTGCTAAGAAACTGAAAAAAAAACATACTAGATAGCAATCATAACCAAGCTATAGTTTTTCATGATCAAGCAAAAGAATGCAGAAATTGATTGTAAATACTTACCAAAGGACACCACTTGCATCACCTCGCTCTGTTCCTGTGAGTATGCTTTTTAAATCTCTTTCCGCTTTTGTTTCGTTCACCTTCAATGATCCTCACAAGCCATTGAGGTTTTCCTCTGGAGAACATAAAATATCCTATAACAAGTCCCCACACCAGCCCACATATATAACCCGGTAATATGACTTCCCAATTGAATCCACTTGAAGTATTGTCTTCTTGTTGAAACATCAAGGGTGGTGGTTGTGGTGTCCTTGGACTGCATGCATTTAACAATGGAGGTCCACATAAAGCCAAGTTGTCAATGTAGGAACCATTTAAAAATGTATTAAATTGGTTGCCTTGTGGTATCGGTCCTACTAGTTGATTCTGCGAAAGGTTTAAGACTTCAAGAGATTTCAAATTCTTTAGTTGTTGAGGGATCTCCCCAGTGAGTTTGTTGGAAGAGAGGTCTAACCATTCGAGCATTGTCAAATTAGCAAGAGATGCTGGTATATGACCTGTAAGGCTATTGTGAGACAAGTTGAGTCCTCGGATTGAATTTAACTTTCCAATAATCTGAGGAATCTGACCTTCGAAATTATTTTTCGATAAATCAATTGCAGTGAAAATGGTTAGGACTTTTACCATTTCTATTGTTGATCCTTTGATTACTATAGTCAAACAATCATTATAGTAATATGTTGAAGGACCACCAGACATCCCTAAATATTTCAATTTAAAACTAGCTTCGTCAACATTCATCATAGCATTGAGATTCTTGAAAAAATTTCTTGGCAATGGACCAGTAAAATAATTGGTTGATAAATCCATAACTCGCAAGTTGGGAAAGGGAAATTTGAACTTGGAATTTGGTATAGGTCCATGGAATTTGTTAGATCTCAAAATTAGAACTTGTAGCGAAGTTAAATTTTCCAACCAATATGGAAATTTATCGGAGAACTTGTTACATCCAAGGTCTAGCACTTGTAGCATTCTGCAATTCTCTAAAGATTTTGGTACTGGCCCCTCAAATCCATTGCTATCAAGGTTGATAGTTTCGAAGAAATTTTCCTTCGCAAATGTATCAGGAATGGTGCCAGAAAAATTATTCTTCCGCAGATCGAGTACAAAGAAAAATATGCTGAAATTTCCTAAACATTGTGGAATAGAACCATTAAAGCTATTACTAGATAGGACAAGAATTTGAAGGGAAATTGCATGACAGAGCATGTCTAGCTCACCACTGAAGTTATTTGATGAAAGAATGAGACTAGAAAGGTTAACGAGTTTGAAGGTTGAACTTGGAAACCTACCATGTAGGTTGTTATTGCTCAAATCAACAACAATTAAATGACTGGATTTGAACTCTTTTACATGGCCAGTCAATTTGTTATTACTGAGGTTGAAGTATTCCAATGCTGGTAAGTTGAAGACCCAAGATGGAATTGTACCATTGATTAAGTTATCATCTAAACGTAATTGCACTAGATTTGGAAGTCCAATTATTTGTGATGGAAGAGGTCCTCTTAGCTGAATATTCGACAAACCTAACTCAACAAGTTTTGTTAGGTTTGCACCCAATGATGGAAATGGACCGCTGAAGCTATTTGAACCAACATATAAATAAAGAAGACTTTTTACATTAGGTAAAAAATCTGCGATTTTACCTTCAAAATTATTACACTGAACTCCCAAGTAGACGAGATTTCCAAGGTTTGAAAGTGAAGATGGGAGCATGCCAGTGAAATTGTTATATCCGATGACTAAATCAGTCATTTCCGTAAGGTTTCCGAGCGACGTAGGGATGGATCCATAAAATTTACAATCAACGGCAACCAACGTTTTCAAGGACTTCAAATTCCCAATTGAGTCGGGTAGTTCTCCAGAGAAATTAGTGTAT